CGACTAGCTGATCAATTCCATTTTTTTCATTTCATATAGATGCAAAAAGTGGAATTTGAATCATATCCTCGAAAACAACATTCGACTTGCATGTGTTAAGCATATAGCTACGTTACGGTTGCCGCTTCGTTCCATCGTACTTTAACCAGACGTTTACCGGCTATTTACTTATTATTAGGGCATCTTAAAGCGTACCGGGTAAGCTTCTTGCCTCCCTCTCTCCTCCCATTCCTTTATTGGCAGAGTTTGTTGACTCGGTGATCGCCGTGAAGCTCAAGACAAGTAGTGATTGATCGATGCGTAGCCCAGGAAGATGAAGAGGAAGAATTTAGACCACCTCGAAGGAGAAATCATGCTAGAAGGCAAGAGTATTCCAATGGATGGCACCCTTGATCAAGTGCGTCCACTGTTTCGTTTGCAGGGTCAGATGGAAGTTTATTCCTTTGACTTGAAGAGCGCGACAGATAGGTGGCCTTTACTGGCCCTATTTGATATTCTTGTAGTACTCTTTGATAGGATGTTTGCTGGAGCAGTGAGGTCATGTCTTGCTATTAACAGGAATTCAAAGTCAAATGCTTTCCTAGGGAGGAGAAGGCGGTTGGTCGACTAAAGGTTATAGGACTAAGTGGAAGCGCAGCACATAAGCGCATATGAATTCTCGGTTCCTCTCTTTATTACGAGAGCTAAGCGAACGGGAGGGCACTCAATCTTATGTTGTGAGGAAGGGCGAGTGACGAAGAAAGAAGTGCTATGATCAAGGCTAAACTCTAAGTATGATTTTGAGTTCGGGTTCAGAGATTCCCATTCCAAAGCAAGAAATCCTTACTTCCCCCGGTAAGTCAGGCGCCTAGGTCATTAAGCTATCTGTCGTGCTTTCGCTAGAGATCTCAGGTTCATGTCTCGGTTGTGCCGTCCCTTCCTGCGATCAGCGTAGTTTGCCTTCCCAAAGATCAGTCAGTCTATGAGTGGTACTAGGTAGGGTCCGAAGGAGTTTGTCTGAGGGCTATTTTGATAGTGAGTGCGACAAGCCACTAATGCCACAAACCGAGGGGGTTGCGATCAAAAGACAAAGAAGCAAAAAAGAAGGTGTTGTGGGCGACTAAAAGGAGCCTGGAGATAGCTCGCTTGGGTTTTGTTCAATCAACGAGAATATGGAATATTGTCATTCCAGGCAAGAAAGCCTAAGGAGAGGATATTTCCCCCGTTTAGACTAGTTATAGTCAAGTCAGGATGGGGCAAGAACAACTGTTCTAACCACTCCGAATCTCAGGCAACGGCTAATCAAGGAATTTGGGAACGATTTATGGCATCAGATAGTCTATTCAATGGCCTTTCATCAGCATTAACATAGGGCCTTCCCGCTAATTCAGTAGAGAGCTCTAGTTATGGGTTACGGAACCATCCTCTACCAAACTAACGGAATTTTTGTCTTAATTAGCGGCTTATCTTATGTTTCTATTCTATGGATAGGGTCAATGCGGCAAGTGCGGGAGTCGCTTTTATGCTCTTCATGCCTTCTTCCGTGCCCTTTTCGTAGGATAGATTCTATGTTGAATGTTGACCTTGACTGAGTCAACCAAGTAGGGTTGTTGGCTTTATTTACTTACTATAGAGGTTTGGAACCCTACACATGCTTAGGGGGAGTATTTTAGATGGGTTTGAAGTAGACCCTTGAACCAGCTGCTGGTGGTGAGCAGACCACTCTTGAGGATGATGTTGTTCTTGTTTCTGCTGGTAGAGTTCCATTTACTGCTGGACTCCCATTGGAGAAGATAGGGGTTGAAATTGATAAGGCGGGGCGGATCTTAGTGAATGAGCCCTTCCCCCTCTCCCGCTTATTGATTAATTAGTCCGTTAGGACTATTTCATAACTGATTCAGTCGACTCAACTTTGTCGATCCTCTCCCTTAGGGTCGAGCATATTCTAACCATGCCCTCTTGAAAATTCTTTCTAAAATGTCGGAAAGAGTAGGGCGTCGTAGGCATTACCTTATATCCAGCTTGAAGGCAGTTTCCGCCGTAGGAAAACAAGTCGTAGGTTCAAGTATTGGATACCCCCAAGTAGTTCCGAGGCAAAAGGGGAATCCCAGAGTAGCTAGAAGATTCAGC